TGAAGAAATATTTTTCTATCAATTTCTACAAAAACCTAAAACAAAAGCTGAATAATAATGTCTTAACAGAGAAAAACAATAGACAAAGCTGTTATATTGATTATCTCTGTTCTTTGCATGCCAAAAATTGTAGGTATGTTATTTCAGACAGTAATAATTTCACACTAAACAGAATATGAAAGTATATAAATAGCATTTTAAAAAATTACCTGATTCATAAAGGCATAAATGAAATGGAAGAAAAATTAGATGTCAAAAAAAAGTCCAAGTTAAAAAAGAGACGCAACAGTGGCCAATGCCTTTAGGGACCATCCAGATAAATTGTTTTTAAAAATCCATTTGGACAATGGTGGGTTTTTTTATCAGGTAGTGATACGTAATGGTCATCAGAAAAAGTAAATTAAAAGATTTCAGCACTAACAACACTTTCAGCTGTCTATCTTTTTGGGTTTAAGTGAAATAAAGATCGCATGAGTTGTCTTTGCCATTCCAGTGAATCCTCCTCCACCTAATCAATCACTATACTAGGAGATCATATTTTAAATTGCATGATTCCACTCTCCAAAGTTGTTCCTCCCATTCAGCTTACTCTACTGTCATAGCTTCAAGAATAAAGATAAATCAGAATTTTATGGAACAAAAGGTAGTACACGTGGTCAGGCTAAGTGCAGCTACAAACCTAGGATTATAAGGATGCTGTCTCAGTCCAACATGAAGCCTCTGCACAAAACGAAACAAGGAAAATAAAAGGAGTTCTTCAACCTTCTTTTTCAAAGGATTACCCTTCTCCCTGCTGCTCAGTACCAACAACAGACTTAGTGCTGCTCTTGCCCTCAGAGAGTTCCACTGAGGACTCCAAGGCTCAAGGCTTTTCTGAGAGCAAGATAAGAAAGAAAAATTATAACAGCTGAAGTAATTCCTCAATCTCAAATCATCAACTAGAGATTTCAACAAGTGGTCAAATTATTTCACTGTCCTGAAAATGTATTTTCATAATATTTATCCCTGTCATCACATTTACTCCTTTCCATATTTTTATTTGTTAACTTTAATTAGTGTAAAAGGCATTGATGTTTCTTCTCCTACCTAAAGAGAAAACATAAAGATATAAAACTTTATGTAGACATTCAGATTTCTTCAGAAATTTTTTTAAATGAGAAATAAAAAGTCAAATATAATGTTAAATTTCAAATCAAGAAACTTCTCATGTTGCATTTTATTTCTCTATGCAAATTATTTTGAAGTTTATGATTTTTTTTAAATTAACTGTACCAACTAAAAATAAAATTTCTGCCTGTTAACAGCAAACTAGAAGACCTAGTCACTTTATATGAAACTTCATTTTGTTGTCTTTAATGTGATGCATGTTTTGCAATTAAGCAATAAAACACAGCTTCCCTACCGGGCAGTGAATGATAAAAGAAACAAGCAATCCTGAGGAAGACTTCCAATCAAAACTACCTGATCTGTGCCACAGTCTACCATTACCAGTGCTTATCATAAATAAGGATAGAAAGAGGAGAGAGAAGTTCTCCTGCCTTGTAGGAGGTTCTGGAAGAGGAGAATGCTGAGTCCTAGATAGTTCCCTTCTAAGGGATTTGCTTCTCCAGAACTTTGAAAGACTAGACCTGTTAAAAAATTAAATTGTATCTATCCTGAAGGCTTTGTTTGTTTTAAGTTCATATAATACTGAATATCTCCAGTTTTTTACCATATTTACAGATACTTTTTAAAAAGTATAATGATCCCAATCTACATGCAAATGTTGTCATTTATCTAAGTGTAAAGCAAAATTAATGATATGTTTATTTTTTAAAGGCAATTGTATCAATTAAGCTAGCTTTCATTGAAAACTACATCAAGAGCAATTATTTTGTTGGCAGTACTGCAAAAGCAAAATTAGTGAGAAAAAGCAAAAAGAAGTTAAGGAATTTAAATAAATGGGAGACAATCATGAAAATAAAGTTCTTCACACAAATAAATTTATAAACTGAAAAGCCTGTTGTTATGCATCACAGTCCTTTCCTTTTGAAAGTGAAAATAATTAAATATTAATTTTGGCAGTGGATAATCATGTGGAAAATACTTAACAAATGTACCCTCTAGGTTTTCTTTTGTTAGAATGTCCCCCAAAAGCTCCATAAAGAGGAAAAGAGGGGAAAGCAAACAGTAATTAGGAAAGAAAAAAGGGAGAATTATCCTAGACAGTCAATGACTCTTAATAAAATATATATTCCTTTTAACTGTTCTCATTCTCATTTTTGAAGAAATTAATGTACTTTTTAAAAGATTACTAAATTTTCCTGACATGACTTTCTCTTGAAATTACTGAACATCTACAGAAAATAGTCTGGTCCCCTTGAACACCAGTATTTGAGAAGTATCTGACCACTGCACTAAGTGCGTGAAAACCATCTTGCACAGCAAAAGCAATGTCAGCTTTTCCTTTTAAAACTTTTCTAATCTTTCATGTTGAGTAGCAATATTATACCCAAAACATTTGTAACAGTACAATATAAAAATAGAAAATCCAAGTATTTAAAAATAAGTGTTAACATTTAAGTAGACCATGAAACTGCAGTTAATCCTTATATGTACTGAGTCTAATACACTTCTTGACTATATTGTAGGTTTTAACAAAGTTTAACAGACAATTTCCTTTAGAAAAATTGAAGAGGGCAAAAAAATTTCTATTGCAAGAATTTGCATTAATACACATGTGAGGCCTCTGAAATGAAAAGCCGAGAGTGCACTCTTGTGACATTTGGGCTGATAAAATTAACTGCAGCTTCCCATTTGGGCTGACACCAGAAACTGACTGCTCATAACCTCAGAGGAAGGTAAGAGGATCAGAAAACTAGGTTTCCATTTTAAAGAAATCCGGAGGAGACCACAGTCACATAGCCAACCTTATCTCCCCCAACCTTCTTTTACTACTCCCTCCAGCCTGCCTTGGTGAAGGCGTCATGCCACCACTACCCACTCCCCCTCAGGCTGCTCGTTCATGACTTGCCCTTTCCACACCTCATTAAACAAGGGCACACCAGCTGGGAAGGCTCCGGCTCTTCTTTTCCTCTCACTCCAATACACTAGATACAATGACACAGTGCAAGAAAATAACAGGAGTAGCTTTGCTGTTACTGCAAGTATTTTTTACTAACGAATAAATCAAGCTTCCCTGGGGTGTGGCATTGTAACCATACATTTATGCTCAACAGTGTTCAGCTGCGAGGTGCTGGGAATCAAGCACGATGTGATAGCCGGAGACAGAGGTACACCAGCATAGCATCTTGGGCTTCTCTATCTAACCCAGATTCATCAAAAAAAATTCTCTACTGGCATTTTAATATCAGATTTTGTAGGAGGCATGTTCCAGGGGCGCAGTGGGACGCACCGAGGGCAGGGAAGCCAAGGGACATGCGCCGGGACAGACGACCCCATTGGTCACAAGGTCACACGGTTTTAAGGGATAAAAAGGGCACCGAGTTTGAAATAAACTCTCTTTGATTACCATCCCATCAGAGAGCTGACTGCATTTCTTTATCATATAAAGACTCCATGCTACAAGATTTTATCATCACACTTGCTGTATTTCACTGTGCAAGATAAAACATGCTAACATCTGAAAAAGTTGGCTGAATCCTTCTTGTTGGAGCTTTGTTTGACCATATGGCACTGCCTCAGGGATGAGTTTATTACCAGCCTACCTCCAGAAATTCCCTAAAACTTAATTTTTTTTTTCACACTACAAGTCACCAAAAAATGATGAGTATTTTTGTGCAAATACTGGATTATTAGTAATAATTTTGCAAATATTTACATATTTTTGATTTACCAGACAATCACGATTAGTCTGTCTTCTGCTTAAGAAAAACCTCTTCTCCTGCTAATGTTTCCTTAAGCCATCTGTCACTAGAAAATTATTATTTGCTTTCTGATGATAGAGTAGCCTAATAGTTGCCTTTTATTCAAAGCTCTAAGTTTGCACAGCATGCTGAGAATGGCATGAAATGAAAACAGACCTAACAGATCTGCTTTTAAGCAAGAATTAAATGGCATGCTAAATCCATTCTTCCTTTTTTTGCTAAAGGTCATGGCTAAAGAATCTGAGACTTTGCTAAGTATTTAATATTGCAACATTGCTAATCAACTGCAGTTGACGTATTCCCTGTCTACTAGATGGAAAAAAATTTATACTGTGGAAACAGTATCTGTGTTTCTCTTGACCCATCTGAGGCCCCCGTTTTCACTCACACTTCTTCTAGTCAACTTTACCAATCATGTCTCCTCCTTGAAAGCCTGGACTATTTATAGAGCTTTTTACTGCTACAATTTCTAGATCTCTTTGTCTCTTCACATGTTGTGAAAATACTGTTTATTTCCTGCTGTGCTCTTGGGAAATGAAACACAGTGGGATGAAAACTTATGCAATACAACTATTAGATTGTCTATAGTCATTTAAGCACGGAACTGGTAAAATCACTGTAAGAAGTTTGTCAGGTGATAAGGTCATTCTCTAATTACTTTGCATTTTTCATCTTTCAAACTAGAATTATCTACTGATTTAATGGATCCTTAAAGAGAAACACTATATTTTATGCAGTGTGATAACAGGGATTCACTTTTTATTTATGACATGCAACTCTAGCTGTTTTCTCATTGTAATTCATCATAGTACATCTGTTTTTACATAGTAATATTAAAAAAATAATCAAATAACTCTTAGCCTGTCTCTGACATGTCCTTTCATATTTACATACCTTTCCTTCGCAAAACAGAAAACGCAAACATTAACATTAGAAAAACTGCCTGACACAATAAAGCATGAGTACTCTTGAAGCTGGCAGTCAAGAGCTAGGAACCTAACCAGGTATATTTGAAGGAGTTTTTTTAAATGTTGGACAATGCAGGTGAAAACAAATAGTAAAAAGTGTTCCGCACTCTTGTGACATCAGTTGTCTTGACTTTGTCCTATTCTTCCATGACCCATTTGTGTATCACAATGGCACTCAGCAGGCCCAACTTGTCTAAAGAAAAGATGAAACCTGTGTGCAACTCAGGACGGAAAGAGTAAGAGTGAGACAGTTCTTTCCTCCTTGGAAATCTGAAGGATGCTCAAAGATAATGAATATATTTTACATTTTATGAACATTTTTTTTTATTTTTCAGGTCCCCTCCCTTCAAATGTGTTGCTAAGCCTTTTTTTCTCTAATAATTAAGTTCCAGAGATCCAAATGACTCTCACTGGAGCTGTCGAACTGCTTATTGAAGAGGGTTTGGGTTTTTACCAGTCCTTCTGCACACAGATGAATTCAATCCTTGGTTCTTGAGCCTGAATTCACCCTTTCTGTAGTAGAGTTGAACTTTCCTTTGGTTCCCTGGAAGCAAACAAATTTTCTCAGTTTATACAGTTAAGAATATAATTCTGCTTTTGGACATTGCTATTTAATTGCTAATTAATAGATCCAACTGTGAATTCTTTCCCTAAGGTAACTCACTTATGCTATTTCCTCCTATTTGTTTCAGTAATAGGGCCTACCAATCCTTTATAGAATATTGTTAAAGCTCAGTACATATTTTTACCTTCATGACCTGAATTACAGTTCTCTGTGATTATCACTTAAATTTATTCAGAGTAACACAGTTGAACTTTTGGAGTTCTCCCTACCTCATTAACTTTTCAGTTCAGCCACCAGTTGGGTCTTTAGTAGAGGTGTTAGATTGAAAAACAAACACAGTGACAATCATCTTAATGGGCAATGAACATCATATGACATCTCAGCTATCTACCTGGCTGTTTAAATACTATTTATAACACGGATTATGGTCCTTTTGTGAATAGTCTCCTTGATTTACAGACTCCTCCTGCCAAATATTAGGAGGGGAGGTTATAAAGATCAGGAGTGTCTGAAAGGGTAATCCATTTGAAGTAAAATATTTTTCCTTTGACTGGGCATATTTTGTTTTTCTTTCTTATGAATGTTTCAAGAGACAGCAAATGATTTATTTTAAAGTGACCATAATTCAAGGTTATGCCGATGAAATAAATGTCACTCTCTTTGATTTAGATGTTCCAATCTTTCCCTTACGCAAAGACTATGTTGGTTTCATTTGCTTTATAAATAATCTTTCTCCCAGAGTTACCAGCAAACTGACTCACACATCGTTTCTCTAGCAGGTAAGTGGATGTTTACTAAATATATCTAATGTCAGAAAGCCTTCTTCGATAAGTTAGTGAAAAATGCAATGTTATTTGTGGAACAAAGTGCCACATTTCTAATGTTCTCTAAAATCTTTCATCTTACATTCTTCTTTAAAGAAAAATTTTGGCAGAGGTTTTATGCCTCTTGTATGAAGCTTGAGTAAGATTTTTTACTTTATCACCTGAAGAAATTAATTTATACAGAAGGTTCTACTGAAATGTTTCTTATCTTTTGTACACTGCTTTTCCTGCTTCATCTGTTTTTTTTGTTGCATCAATCAGAGGCCACACATCCCTCAGAGACCTTTTAACTGGTTATCAATGAGTCTTCTTCTGGATCTGGACTGGGAATTGTCTAAGGAGGGCTACTGCTGTCAGGTATAGTTTTGTTGCATTCAGTCTGCTCAGGGAGACCAAATTCCGTTCTCACTTACTCAAGTGTAAACATTGAATAATTCCATTGATCTACCTGATAGTTATAGATTTCTCAGTAGACTGTGTGCTTTGGTGCACTCTAATTGCCAATACTCAGAGATAGTTAATCCACAGCAGAGGAAGGCAGTGGACAGCAGAAGTCTCTGCCTTGAAGCAGATAACCACAAGGAAAATTGGGGCAGAGTAAATGCCTATAATTTACACATGTTGTTGTAGATGCCTGAACTAATATTTATCCTCCGACTTTCCTCGTCACTTTTTTCAGACCAGAAGCAGAAGCCAAATTGCACCACATGCACACACACACACACACACCCAGATATACATGTAATTCTGTGGTACTTGTGCAGAAGCAGAAACACCTGTTCTACCACAGCATCATTGCCATGGGGGCTCCATATGTTAATGCATGGAAAAAACAAGCTAGAATGACCTAATTTAAGGTCTCTTCATAAACTTCCGACTCCTCTCCAGAGGTGGCTTTGGATGACAGCACACCTTTTTCAATGAGATTGTGTTGTCTTCACCTGTAACAGAGGCCATTCTAGCACTGAATGCAGACATCCAACCAGCGTAAAGTTTTATGTGGCCACTACTCCAAATGCAAGCAGATTTTTATGGGCTTGCAAAATTCATGTTTGAGTCTTTCTACTTTTGCTTTTCTATTCATTCTCCCTCTCAGACATATGGGATGAAGATGGCTCTGAAAAAACACATCTCAAAGAGGTATTTTCTTGACCCTGTTGAGCCCACACATTTCCCAGATAAAATAACCATCTATTTAATTATTTTTTTAATCATTGTCTTTTCACTATTTTTACATTTTAGCATAAAGAGATATAAATTTACTTGTTCAGTAGCAAGATAAAAAGTACAATGGCACTTTTAAGTAGTTCTCAGGAAAGAAGATACTTTATCTTTAATGCATGTTTTTTTCAATAAGACATACCTGGGTTTACAAGATAATGATAATGTGCTTAAATGTTATAAATCCACATTCTTGTTTTCTGTCATTTAAAAATATTAAAGATTATTCTAATGGTACCGTTTACTTTGACTATTATTTTGTTTGCAATTACTGAAGCAAACACAGCCAGAAAAAAGATGAATGGGTCCTAAAGGAAAATCTAGGAGTACTGCTTTCTTAGAGCAGAAACACAGAACTTCTTTTTCAAGAAATAGTTAAAGCTTTTGATACTTGTTGATAACATTTTTCTGATGGCATTATTACTGGCAAAAAATGATTTACTGGAAAGAGTAAGAACAGAGCGGTGGCCTCCAGAAACGTCACTTGAAGGCCTTTTGATTGATTTTTACAGTGAACCAAAGAGCTATTTGTACTGTATTCAAATTCAACCTAATTTTTCATTCCTTGTAGAAAGTTACAGCTATATATAGGCTTAAAATTAATTTATTCTCAAACAAATAAGAAAGAATAGTGTAATGAAAGCAGACTACAAAGTCTGGGGCACAGTAACTAATATTTCAAAGAAACATGAATCATCCCATTACAGTCTTAATAAAGAAACATATATTTGTAACTTGTCACTAAGTCACTCCAATGGCTTGAGACTGATCTACTGGGGTGAAGGATGTGAGCAAAGGGTATAAGTGCATCACTTCCAAAGCAATTACTTGCATCAGGCACAGCAAGGTTTGTTTGAGGGGGTTTTTTTAGATAGAGTATGCTGTTCAAAATTGCAATAGACTAATAATTATATTTCTTAATGTATCACAACTTTACAAAACAACAGCAGCTTCGTGGAGAGCGAGAGAAAAAAACAACTCTCATGATCACTTATGCTGTCCAGCAGCAAAGATGGGAAATCTTCACTGAATTTCATTCTCTTCCCTGATAGCTGTGTATTAAATGACTTGAAAAAGTTCCCTGTCTCCAGGGCACAACGTGCTGTCTGTGCTGGGGAAAAGACCCCTCTGAAGTGCAAGTACTAGATAAGGAAGCAAAACACCAGTCAGTAGTACATTAGTTCATTTACAACCCTCGATTTTCTACAGGTCCTGGTTTTATCTCTCTATAGATCTCTCACATTCAATAAATTGTCTACACACTTGATATGAAAAGGATTATTTCATAATGACTTTGTGAGTATTCTGTGTTTATGCTTCATGACAAAACAAGTGTCTTTATAAAACCTCCAACACTATATGCAGTTTTTTTAGTTCCAAGTACTTGAGATAACAGCATAGCTTACAGCCTCAACAGTTGTATGTGAAAAATTATACTGCTACAAGGAGTTAATCAATTAGAAAACATTTCCTGACTCTTCAGCTTTAAGTTCTTTTTCTCTCTGTTATTTTAATGGTTCTTGACATTTCATTCATAAACACACTGAATAATTCCTTTTCCTCTCTGCTACTGCAAAGATTTATTTTTAGTATATTGAGAACTCAGACCATCTTTTCTTAATCATTTTTACTTTTCTTGTTTTCAGTACCTTTGCTGAAGTACCCAGGGCTTGTGTTTAATGAAGCTACACTCTTACCATACAGAGAAGAGTAGTCCTGGCCAGTTACTTTTTGCATGGCTTATATGCTTTATTTCATTTTCTCTTGTTGGCAACAAAATCACAGCATATTGAATATACCTAACTTTAAATGCAAATAAGGAAATCTTTCCTGATAGTGGCATTTTTCATTAATGATTAAAGAAACACATAATTGTGTTATTTCAGTGTTGATCTTAAGGGGAAAAGTAAAAGAAGTATTCATATGAAGTAAACCAAACTTTTAAATTTTCTTCAACTGTAATCTTTGCAAGACCTCCAGTCTGTCCACTGTATGATTTGGTCAGAAAATTCTTACAGTTTTCAAACTCAGGAAAAACATAGTATATAGAATTCTCAATCAAAATATACACTCATATCTTACCTTTAGCATTTCAGCAAGTATGATTTACAGCCTAATTTCACTCTAGAAATGCTTTTTACAGGGAAGCCACAGTTGTAATCATACAAGTAATATTTTGCTAGCAATTAGCCCAATTGATATATGTATGGCTTTATTGACAACAATTTTTTTTGTGATTAGCTTGTATATGTATACTCTTCCCTTTTTTGTCTCTGCTCTTTTCTTCAGAAAGTACTGTCTCTATCGGTGTAAAGTTATTTCTAAGTAAGTAGTAGACATTGAAATCATACGGGATGTATATTCATTATTCTGATGCAGTAAATCTCCAAGATAAATGGCAGAGAACACGCTTATACAGAAAACATTTATTTAGGTCTGATGACAGTTCATGAACTTGAGTTTAGGCAACAAAATGTTATATAATGTCCACACATGTGAGGTATCAGAATAGCTGTAATCAGTCATTAACACCTGGCTAACCCTAGAACACTAGAGAGAGATCAAAGCAAAAGAATAAATTATCTAATACATTATGGATACTAATTGCAGTTGTTCATAAAATTTCAAAAGATGATATGATAAAACAACACCAGGTATCATAGTATCTTAATTTTTCCTAACAGTTCTCACACACCCTTATTTAATATTGTTTTACCTAGACTGTAATTTTAAAGAATAAAAAATTTTTAAAAATACTTAGAAGGAAAAATATTAGATCAAAACTACAGTTACGTTATTCTGTATTAAATTAGTTTTTCACATGAACAATATTTACTTTGATGAAAAGATACAGGTTCTGGCACCTGAAAAATGAAACATAAGCAAAGAGTCCAACTACCTCACTGTTCTCTGACTACATGGTAATTTTTTTCTAGCATGTACCTACAACAGTAAGCAGGGGAAACTCAAGTTTCTGAAAGACCTTCCTTGGAAAGAGATCTTTCTGTTACACCTAAATGCCAGTGACTGAAACTTCGCATTCAAAAGAGGATGGAAATTAATGGTGTTACTCTTTTGCCATTCACAGCTGCTGTTTTATTCAGTGGCTGTTGAACAAAGTTTTTGAAATATAGATTTTTTTAGTTTTGCATGAGAGAAAATTATCAAATGGACACTTTTTTTGCCCTCTCGGTTCCTGATGAGAAACATCAGTACTTTCAGCAGGATTCCCAAAGGAAATTTTGGGAAAGTTTCCTAAGAGGAAGGATATGGTTAATCAGCCTTCATAGGGGAGGAACCCTGGCCTCCGAGTTTCACTAGCAAGGAACTACTCATGCTGGTGTTTGTACATAGATTGTTACGCTGCTACGGATGTCTGAGCTGGATAGAAATAGCATGGTCTTGGCACTGGTAGAAACGTAGTTTTTGGCATAATGCTCACAAAGTTAGTGTTAGTTTACCCTGAGAAAACTGGTATGTGTGGTAGCTTGCAGGCATGCCAGTTCAGTGTGCTGCAGCCTCTGCACCGGTCAGCCCCACCAGCATACCCCATTTTCAGGGTACACCCTGGTGTAAGGATTATTATGTGATACATACACATAATAATTGCTATAGCTGTTTAGGGAAGAAAATATTTGGAAGGCTCCAGGGAAATAACAGGAGATAACCTGAAAGAAGTGCAGTTAGAAAGGGAGAGCGGGAAATTTGCCTTTCAGCACAGTGAGTTGCTCAGGTGGCTCAGAGCTTGCTGTGAAACCGTAACCTCTCACAAAGTTACCAGTCTGCTCTCCTCCAGAAAGAAAAAAAAAAAACGAATGTTCACAGGTTGCTTCAAAAAGGAACAATGTTTATATACTATTGAAAAACTGTGCTTCCCCTAAATTTTAGCGACTTTCTTGGACGCTTCCTGCACTATTTGGGTCTATTTAATAAACGGTAAGATTTAAAATTGAGGTTGTCTGAGGAAACTCTTCCCTTCAAGAGTTTAACAACTGAAGCTGAGGATGTTTCATTTATGATCTGCTACTGTTCCTCAAGCAGAAAGGTTTCTGTTCAAGTTTTTTTATACAGGCCATGTTGAGGTACCTTAAGCACAGTCAACCTAGAATTCAGTGAGATAGTTTAAGTATTCTGACATAGCCAGTGACCCTCACTTTAATTATGGCCAGAAAAGCTACAGGAGGTAGAGAAGCTAACAGGACCCTTAGTAATCTATATACTGTAGAGTAATTCTTCTTACACAGTTACTTCTAACAACTGTAAAGCACTATACAATGTGCAGGACAAGGCAGAATCAGGCTCTGTGTGGTTTTTACACTTATTTTCTTGTTCAGAGCTAAGCCCAGCTGGTAGACAAAAAGAAATGCCCATCAGCAAGTGTAAGAATCCTCCTGTCCTCATAGCTCACCTGCCTATAAAAGGTCCAGTCACCTTTATCCCCTTGAAAGCCATTGCCTGCCTACTGAAGAAAAAAAGAAAAAAAAAAGTTGTTATTTTGTTTTTTTAACAGCTTCTTTAAAAATTAAACCTCCACATCCATATTTTTGAGAGGCTCGTTTCCTTCCTAAATGCCTGGAACACCTGGAAAAGCTGAAAACAAGAGAAAAGGTAATTGTCCATAGTTTTTTTTCGAATGTATCTTGATAAAAAATTGTAACATTTTGGCTTGGTTTGACTGAAAAAATACATAGTTCCCATCCATGGGACTTTGACTGGCATTTTCAAAGAAGGTCATCCTAAGCAGCACCAGGCAGCATAATCAGTTCCACTACGACCAAGTTTTAGAAGGGGAACCAGGTACCCCAATGATAGAGGTACTTTGATTTAAAACAGTTAGAATTTATACACTGGATAGCTTTGGAGATTAAATGCTAGAGATAATGACATCAGAGGTAAGTGCTAATATATTGGAGACTTTAGGATTGAGAAAAAGTCGTGGTATTTCAAGTGACAAATACACACCTCTGTATATACTGAATCGATTGTGAAATATGCTGTGTATACTGTGTCCGATACACAAACCACTTATTTTGTTTCATTCCTAATGAATTACATTTTTCAAAACATTTATATGCATAGAACAGGGAATTATTACCTTTAATGGTTCTGGAAAGAAATCATTGCATCTACATAATTGTCTAGTTATCTCAGCTGTTTTGTGCAGTCCAAAATCTGAAAAGATTACTCAATACCTTTTCTGGTTTTATTTACTGCCAGCTATTTAAAGAACAAGTACGCCTTGGGATCTCTCTGATAAAGGGATGTATAGTTTGCTATTAGAAAAAATAATAGATGCAAAAAAATCCTGGGATTTTATACAGTATTCAGGGTATATAATTTCTTTATCTTATCATTATAGTTTGCAACTGAAATTACTTTTATTGCTAGTACAGCTGACTAGGACAGTTTATTTAACATTTTGGGATTGAAGGGAAGTGTGGTGTTTATTTATTTAATGAATAAGTTTTCATCCAATTAAAGTAAAAATCAAGTGCAGACCTATTATTCCCAGACCTTTCAGATGCTAATTCATTGCATTTCTACCATAGAAAAAATTGTATTTTGGTTATCAGTAGGCACTGGGCACGCAGTGCTTTCTATCCAAGATTGATCCTGAGGAGTACTGGGAGCTCCCAGCATCCACAGATGCATTCTCAGCCTTGTACCAGGAGAAGTACCACTGCTGACTCTTAGCTGTGTAATATAAACCAGTGCAAACATGGTTTCCAAGTGACAAGAGTGTTTTAAAGAGCCACACCATAATCACGGTGATGAATACAATTGATAGCTAATTTGACTTTGATTTGTTTCCTAAGTTTGTACGATATTGTCAGTACCATTTCTGGTCCTGGCTTCCATTTTCCCATCTTGTTGCTTTGTCTTGCTTTAGATAACTACCAACTGAATAGAAATTATTGATAATATTACAAATATATGCATTTCTAGTAACCACGTTTGCCATCAGCTCATTGCTCATTATACCTGCTCAGGAGACTGCCTCTTTCCAGATAAAAAGTATTTCTGAGTATCCAGTGTTACTGACCTGATGATTTCTGCCCCAGGACATGATGTTAACATGAAAAACAATGGGTTGAGGTTTTTGCATTTTTTGCTATACAGCTGCATTTGCAAATGTGTTTCAGATGTAAAGGTCTTCTGTTATCATTTGTTGCTTTTTGGCTGCATTTCTTACTAGTCAGACAAACTTATTCCTAGACCTTAAATGAGACCTTAAATGAAATTAGGTTGATGGAAACCTAACAAAACAGTGGGCAATATGCTGGAATGAGGCTCTCTGAAACAAGAATGTCTTTTTCTGGCTTTCTATTGTTTGGAAACAACATTAAGTGATATAATTATTCAGTTTGCTGTAAATGCACTAAAGTCCTTATAAGTTTTCTGTTCTGCCCAAATGTTGTACTTACTAAAGCGTCACTGTAAAATTATAAGCAGCAGATGTAATATATCATACTATTCATAATATTATATGCTTTCAGTAAAGGAAGCTTCATGTTTTTCAGGCAGATTATTTCAGGAATATGACTATGTCAAGAGAGAAGTATTATGAAAAAACAATTCTGAGAAAACAGTGACATAAACATATTTTTGCCAACTGATTCCCCTGTTCAAATCCAATTGAAATGAGGTTTTGTCTGAAGTGTCTGTGTTGTCTTTCTGTAGAGAGTGAAAATTGTTAAACAGATTGCTAGATTAGAAATCATAAAACTTAACTGTGACAGCAGCTCTAGGTGAGAATAGGAAAAACATATCATTACGAAGACATTGTCAAGTCTCTTATTCTTGTTAGTAACTCCTTCCTTCACATACTGACAGATGCTGACCTAATTTTCTTTGGAATGTTTATGCATGCTGCAGTGCAATACAGTTCACTTATTCCACTACACAGCCTGTGTTTTCACATATATGTGGGTACTCTCCTGAATACTTTCCTTAAGTGAGCTTGTTTCAATCAAATTCATGAAGGCAGGTGGTCCAAATCTCAGCATTCTATACCACAAGTAGCACCTTACTGGAAATCTCAGCAGATGACATTAGCAAACACAATTTAGAAACCTGTCTTCCACGGAAAAGACGCCAAATACATCCATCTCCATTAGGGCTAATCACATCCAGATAGCAGTTCAGCTGCCCTGATAACAGATATTGACACTTGCAGAGAGTATTGTTTACATGCAAAATAATTAAAATTTTGACTTCTCCCTTTGGAATAGTAACAGCGTATTATGGTATTCAACAACCCTGACTATGAACAAATGTCCAAAGGAATTTTAAGACTTATTGGTATGAAAGTGTCAAACAAACCTGTTTTAAACTTGAAAACAGAGGGAGAATCATTGAGTAATTTAGGTTGGAAAAAATCTTTAAGATCACCAAGTTCAGCTGTTAGCCCAGCACTGCCAAGTCCTCCACTAAACCATGCCCCCAAGTGCCACATCTACACATCATTTCAATACCTCATGGGATGGTGACTCAACCACTACTCTGGGCAGCTTGTTCCAATGTCTGACAATCCTTTCAGTGAAAATATATCAGTTCTTTAAAGAAGGGGATTTTCCAAATAGCAACTGCATGTGTGTTTTGCAAGACAGGCTACAAAAATGACAGGAAAAAATGTGTCTTATAATTTATGGGTCATATCTGAGCTAAATTAATGTTGTATCTATTTATACATTAATGAAAAAAGTAAAAAGCCTATTCTTTTTGAAAGATTCCTATATGCTTTGAGGTAGTTTAGATCAGGATCATTATGGAGAAAGGAAAACATCATCTTGATGCTGAAATAAACATTCAGTCTAATAGATGGTTGTAAAATACAGAAAAGAAAAGATTGTACTTTGGATCTTAGAAATATTTTCATGAAATCAAATTACAGTTTCAATATAAATTAAAAGGAAGCCTCCCACTACTATCTAATATGCCTCTAAAAACATCGATATTTACAAATCTTCACATCTAAATTAAGAGTACTTCATTGCACCATCAACAGTGTGGTGGTAAACATGTTACTCTTCTGGACAACAGTTTATCTTGGCATTGGTCTTATTTGTGTCTATTAATACTGCAAATCATGCGAGAAATGCCAGACTTTCTCAAAGAAAACAGCTGGGCCACTAAAGATTGCCAAATTCTTGAAGTCTGCCAGATTAGTTCAGTAAATGTGGTATGCCCATTGGTAAAGAAAACTACACCTATTTTTTAAAATTACTTTGAAGCTAAGAGATAATTTACACTTCGACTTTCTCTAAGGTTCAGTGAAGCCTTGAACAGGTCTTATTTTATCTAATCCAATTGTGCCTCTCTTTAGTGATAATATGTGTGTTTTCCATCACAGTAGGTGATATTTCAAATGTCTATTTTTGCCTTATCTGTGTGGTAAATTTCTTCTTGATATTTATGTTTCTACATGTTTTATTGCAGGAGAAATTCCAGATCTTTCAGTTAAGTCTTAAAATTGCTTCACATGAAGGAGAAAACCTTGATCAAAAGAAGAATGGTCTGACTCACAGGTCAGCTTCAGAATAAAGCCAAACCTAAAAAACAGCGATCCAGAATCTTTCCATGACCAGAAGAGATGAGCACTGAGAGGCCTTTCAACTTAATCAAACACCCAGGGCAGACAAGCATTCCTTCCCTTGAAAATATAAGTGATTTTTCCTTAAATGTCACTGACTGCACCCAGGTTGTGGTGCCAGAGGAAGTTTTTTTCACTGTTGCTGCTGCTGGAATACTGGAAAATCTGCTTATCCTTATTGCTGTTGTTAGAAATAAGAACTTGCATTTGCCCATGTACTTCTTCATTTGCAGTTTAGCCATTTCAGACATGTTAGGTAGCTTGTACAAAACTCTGGAGAACATCTTCATCATCTTGTGCAAAATGGGATACCTGACACGTCATGGGGACTTTGAGAAAAAACTGGATGATGCCATGGATTCCATGTTCATTCTGTCTTTACTGGGATCTATTTTCAGCTTGTTGGCTATTGCAGCAGATCGATACATCACTATCTTCTATGCTTTGCGGTACCATAATATCATGACCCTGAGAAGGGCCTTGGTTATCTTGGCAATCATTTGGACATTCTGTGCTGGCAGTAGCATTGCCATTGCCCTCTTCTCCTATGAAGCTGCAACAGTCATTCCCTTCACTATCCTGTTCCCTCTAATGATGTTTTTTATACTGTGCCTCTATGTCCACATGTTCCTCCTGGCTCGTTCTCATGCTAAAATGATTGCCTCACTGCCCACCAGCACAGTCCACCAGAGAACTAACATGAAAGGAGCAATTACATTGACTATTTTTCTTGGAGTTTTTCTTTGCTGCTGGGCCCCCTTTGTTCTTCACATTCTCTTAGCAAGGTTTTGCCCACATAACCCTTACTGTGCTTGCTATATGTCCATTTTCCATGTGAATGGAACACTCATAATGTGCAATGCAATCATTGACCCTATGATTTTTGCATTCCGAAGCCCAGAATTGAGGAGTACATTTAAGAAGATGTTCTACTGTTCCAGGTCAAACTGGAACTGGAACTGGTAAACGCTTAGTGAAAAATGAAGATTATAGAAGCACCTGTGGAGTGCTGTGCAACATCTGCTTGCAGAGTTAAAAATACCAACGAGTATGCCCACAGTAATACTTTGTTTATTGCAGTGTATTGACAGTGATTTTTCAGAAGACTACCAAAGAATATATAAAAACTAAGTATGCTTACAAATCTTTGTCAAGCAGACCTCCAGAGATATTACTAAGCTAATTCTGTTTACAATGTTCATGAAAGTTAAAAAAAAAACAGTCTTAACTATCTTTTGTCATTTCAGAAAAGCTCAAATTAAATCTTTTGCATCCGGTGTTACATTACCACTGAGATGAGCCAACTCACTCTATATCAGTAATTTCAATTCAAGGTGTATAGTACTTTAAAATTCTGTTGTTTAAATTGCAGTGAAATGAGCATTTATTTCTAAACTGCACATTTGTATAAAAGTCTATGATTAAGAAGAAAATATGGATTTTGCTGAAAGAGTGAACTCATGACTCTTTATCATCTAGTCTCCTTAAAATCATGCAATTAGTGACCTCTAAGTTTCAAAACAATTTTCAGAGTGTAAGTTCAAGAGAAGAGGATATTTTGGACTGAACACTCCAAATGTAAATGATAATGCAACTATATGATAAAATGTTAACCTCATAATATCTAAACATAGAGAAATAATCATTAAAGAAAGCACTATACCTTTAGCCCTGCAATGGGGAGCATCTAAGACGGAGTTATATCAAAATCCAAAATTCAGCAGTAAAACATAACATTGAAATTCTGTTTAAAGTCCTTTGCTAAGGACTCATTCTCTTGTGGAGACTCTGGCAGTTAGGTCTTAGAAAGGTATCCACAGGAAAGCTGGGGGTGAACAAGGTCGTGGCTACAGCAGACCTCAGATGGTGCCAGCTACTACTGCTTTCTTTTGCCACACCAGAATGTGGCAGCACAAGGTAGTCAGTAGACAAGTGTGGTTTGGTCTGGAGGAAACAGATCACCTTGGACCCGGCTGCCTTCAGCCCTCATCTGACTACCCTCAGCTACACAAAAGTCTTAGGAGCTGGCTGGTTCCAACCACCTTTTGCAACATCCCCAGGCCCAGGGCAAAGACAAGGAGTAGCAGTCACTCACAGATCCTGAGCCAGAGCCCATCTCCCAAGGAGCTGGGCTTCTACCTTACCAAACAAAATCCATCCTACAAGCACACCTTTGATTGTACTCCTCTTGGCCCTACTTCAGTGGCACAGCAAACTGTCCTCCAGTAACCCAGCATCTGCCCACTCCTTCCCCGACTGTCCCACTGTCTTTCCCAGCACCATCACCAAGCCTCCAGCTACCATTTATCTGCAAAACACAGAGCAGTCATGGTTATGCAAGTTAGGGTCCAGTGAGATTTTTTTCCATCTAGCTTGTTAAAACATGGCGCCGACACTTGGGCAGAAAATTTTTTGCAGGTTTTATTCCACATCGTTTTCTTTGACTTAAAAGTATTTCTACAGTTACTCATGCTGGATCTCCTACTGCCATGAGATCCAAGCACTGTCTGGAACTGGTTCCCACCAGAAATTAACTGCCTGTTCTTTGTAGCCTACCTGGTCTAATCTGTGGATACAGTCAGATCAACACCCCAGAGCATGTGTTCCTGTCATGATGCCTGAGCAATACCTAAATCTTTGTGATTATGTCTGTAAATTGATGATAGACACTTGATGGCTGTTACTGTTAGAGTCTGCCTCTTTAATAATAATAATAATGGCCAGTCTTCGCGAACGAAGATTTGGGGAAAGGTCTTTTACCTTTCCAGCCTGCGCAATGGATTTTTTAGGTGAGACACAGCCTGCGCTGAACTGAGCCCACCCTTTAATCCTAAGGTTCATCTGCCGGGGCCAAGCAAGCTTGGACAATGGCAGTGAGGTCCTCAGGACGTAGGTTTGTTTAGAGTGACCTTCTCATAGATGGATGGCCTCACAGGGATAACGAGCTACCATCTGCCCGGGGGACTTGGGATTCGAACCCGTGGTCGCAGCAGTGAGAGTCCTGCATGCTAACCACTAGGCCACCAGTCTGCCTCTAATGCCCAGACAACCAGCAAGACTAGGGAAAAGCTGCAAGGTAGCCAGGTTGCAAATGACGAGAACTACCTGTTGTTCTCCATTTTTGTCTTAGAAACAACAGAATTTGCCATTTTTACTGGGTAAATTTGTAAGAAAGATGGATCTTCTCTGCATTTGCAGTACAGCTGAAATCTGTGTCTACAATATTAGATCTCAAGATGAAACCAGGGGTTATGGTAAAAGAGTCAATATAAAATTCAAAAGACACATATAAACCTTTTTTTTTCAGGTTGCACAAATGAAACATTCTCTTGAAAATATTTCTTTTCTGGAGACAAACAGTCAGGAAGAGCACAAAATAATTCTTGTATAAAAAAGCTTCTAGAAAGATTTTATTTTTTCAGTCTGGCTACATTTGTTGCATGCCAGCAGATGGGTAAATCTCCATACATTATCTCCTAACTGACTGTAAATTTCACTTGCATTTCAGTTGTTCTGCAGTGTCCAAGAAAGTCTCTCTGTCTCACATGCTAATGTCTTCATATATTTCCCTATGTTGCTCTTTGAACAGGTTCTTTAAGCTATGATTTGTGAACCTTTAATCATATTGTGCTGAAGTTATTATTGAAATTCTCCTCTGATATATTAATGTATAACAGTGAACACTTTCCTCAGATTTTGGGACTTCCCTTCATCTGCCCAGCTTTAAATTACAAATTTTTGGGAGGCAGAACTGTACCTTAGCTTTGAAAGAAAAAAGTTCATTTGGATCCTACCAGAAGCTAACAAACCTGAAAGGAACATCTAGTCCTTTGAAAATCACAATCAACACTACAATCAATGTTTCGTTTGGAAGCATCCACAGAACTTCATAGCCTCTGGCAACAAAACATTTCCTAGTCACTTGCTGCAAAGTCAAATAAGAAAAGCTCCTCCTCTGTTTTTGTTGTTTTGAACTGAACTTCATGTTCAGGAACAAAGTGAACAAATCTGATAAAGACACCCAGGGGAATTAATTCCACTTGAACAGCTGGGATGACAGTGAGAGACAAACTTGCAGAGCAGTTTTATTTTGTTCACAAATTAGCAAGACAAATGCAGGGGTTTTGTGAGAAAATATAGTTGAAAGTTTATTCATGTGAGAAAAATCTTTTTTCAGTGAATTATTGTCCTGGGCAAGACTTTCAGAAAAATAGGTGCCTTGGACTCCTATTAGCTGAACAAAATTTCAGTTTCTCAAACAAAATTAAACTCTTAAAATGATACCTTTATTCAAATAGAATTGTAGCTAAGTAGGGTATATTTTTTAATTCTCTTCAAGGTAATTGTAGCAGATAGCACCCATTGCATCTGTATCATTCAATAGCACTTTAATATGCCTTCATTTGAAGTGGCATCTTTTCAAAAGATACAATGCTGTCAAGAGCTTCCGATTCAAAGAGGATGACTCAAAGTACAATTCTGGAGAATAGAATGTGGCCACTTAAGAAAAGTTTTCATGTCCATTTGAAAGCAGTTTTCTCATGTCCATAAATCCCCTCACCTCTATAAGACAAAGATCGGACTGCTGGGCTGTCATATATAGTCTAATGAGTGACCATTAACTATCAAGTAATTCTGGATAACCCATCTGGAGTACAAATGCCTACTGAGTAACTAAAATTGTTTATTGCTTTTCCATAATTATTTTGTTTTACATTACGACTATGAGATGGGTTTGTTACACTACATTTGATTGCTCCATCAGCACCTTTATGCTACCATTTGCTACAACCTCAACAGTTACACCCAAACTTTGTATGAACTATCTGGATAAAGGTAGAGTTAGTCAAAAACCATTCGAGAACAAGAGGAGTTACTCCATCGGCAACTTCACACCCTCTGACAACCCGACCGAGGATGGCAGAGATGGAGCACATGACCTGGGTGGATACTTGTATTGAGAATGCAGCTGTAGTAAGCTGTATAGAAAGGTTTCCTGAACAAAAAGACAGATTGCCCTGATGGATCCCAGAGGAGCCCCATGGCCACTGGCCCCCACAATACCCTGACTTTGACCTCTTAGTTACAATGTCAGGCAGTTAAGAGACACTTTCACAGAGTCTGAAGCCACCCAGGAGCCTCTGCATCATCATGGCATGAGAGCGTTCAGCTCTGCAGGGAGTCTTGGTGTCAGCATAACACCATGAGGTTAAGTACAGCCTCTAAAGTCAGCAAGAAGTGTCTTCAGCCCCTTTAAAATCCTATCACCTGTGTTTTTCTGGGTAATTGTGCATGATAATTTAAATTGTGTCTCAGTGTTTGGTGGCACTGAAAGTATAGGTTAGATGTCTTCCAATTCAGAACTAGCTTACCAGTCCAGGGATTCCTGCAGCTACTCACTTTCAAAATTAATTATTATTATCCACCATGATAAATATGCATTTGAACTTTTCGCTTGAATTTTAAAGAGCAATCTACAGAGTTGCTTCACTGATGCACCATTTCAGTCTTACAGTCTACAGCCCTACATTTTCATTTACTTGAGAAATGAGATCACTGCCTAGCAATTTGGGAAATCATATCTGGTGTTACAGCTAAACCTGTCTTTAGCTGCCAGTCTGCGCAATGAGGAAAAAAAGAAGAGGGGAAAAAAGTGCTTCAGCCCAGCATGGAGCGGTCCATGTCAGAGGGCAAGCCGAGAGGAACTGACGGTGGCTTTGAGGCTCTCATCCACGCTTCCCCTCAGATCACAGTAAAGCCTTTGAAAGAGACTGGATGAGCAGGCAGTTGAAAGAAGCACAGCCTTGAAAGCAAGAGCTGGCTGGTTAATAAGGGGCTGAGAGTGGTAGCATTTCCCATTAGAGGACCTGGCACCAAGGGCAGTTAGAAGCCTGGGAACAGGCCCAGGGAAAATGATTGATGAAGAATAATTATTTTTTAAAATAATGGTATTAAATGAGTTAAATCATTTGTTCAGCCTGTTTCTAAACTGAAGGTTTTTTCTGGGTGGCTCAGGAGTGCCAGGGGCACAAGAAAGATC